GACACTGACCATTTTTTAGTGGTCTACAAACACATGCATACACACAAGCATGAGCTGCATACAGCTTCGAAATACTTGCTCATCCCACCTGTACCCCCGTGTGGCAGCCCACAGTTGCTTAACTACTCCTCTCCTCTTAAACCTGAACACAGAAGAGCATTCCCTGTTCATACTCTCAGCACCCCTAAGCTTCTAAAACTCTTGCTGTCATAGTCACTCAGCACTCTGTACTCACCGTCTCACATACATCTGCAGAAACGGGAACTTCAGCTACAGAGGGACTGATTTGAGGGTAGAATCAAGTGAGGCAGAGTCATGTAGTGAAAGAAACACTAGACTTGAGGGTCAGGAGACCTCGGTTTTATTCAGGCTGAGGGGCTGGGGCAAAGCACTTCACCTCTCTGGGTCTCACTCTCCTAAGGTAAAAGGAGGAAGATCTTCCCGGGTTAACGCCCTGCAGCCGCCATCCTGCCATGCGGCCCCTCTGATCTCCACCCCCTCTGAACTCTTGGCCAGCAGTGTCCCTTAGGAGAGCAAGCCAAGCTTATATGTAGCTTAAATCTTCTACAAGTCCCACAAAAAAGGCAAAAGAAACAGGTAAAATAATTTTAATAACAGACTTTATTTAACCCATTATATCCAAAAACTATCATTTCCACATGCAATTAATATAAAAATTACTGAATTTCCATTTTCTCCTTTTTTGGTACTGCATCTTTGAAATCCAGAGTACACTTTACATTTGCAGAACACCTTGGCTTGGACCCGTCATGGTCCTGGAGCTGAAAAGCCACAGGTGCCTAATGGCTCCCATCCTGGACTCTGTAAGTCTAACAAAAAAGCCCTTCCTGGGCTTCTGACCTCTTAAGCCCAGAACTGAAGACTGATACGAGTACCTGCATCCTTACAGAGGTTAAAGTTGTCAAAGCAGTTTTGGCTCTAAGTAGCCTGTCTGATGAGGAAGGCTGGTTAGCAGACAGTGCTGCAGAGTTCAAGGCAAACACAAAGCAGAAACCCCAGAAGCTGCCAGCAGAATACCACAGGGGAGCTTCAGGGGAGACGAGAAAAAAAGCTATGTGGAATGAGGTCTTCATTCTACTCAGGGTTTTCAGAATTCGAAGCCCACACAGTCACCAACGTGCTGTCAGTTCTATCAGTCCAATTATTTAGATGCCCCTGAACACCTAACTCCCAGGCTCCCGGCTGCACTCCAGGGATACGGCTACCCCTCCTGGCCGCTCTGACCGCAGGCAGGATAAGAAGCTGAACACCTAAGCAGAATCTCCTTTACTCAGAAGTCCCTGTGAGGTGAGGCCTGACTTTGGGGTGAGAATGCTGAGACTGGAACAGGTTAGATCGCTTTCCAGGTCATGCCTCGTGCGCGCAGGTGGGGCAAGCTCCAGCCTGGCTCCTGACGCTGCAACAAGCCACAAGTTCCCGGCTTCACAAGCTCACAGGAGGCAATACAGACTTTCACAATTATAAGGCCACGGGTCACTGCCCCAGAAGGGATGTATAGAGGGGCCTGGAAGTAGGTGACATAATGGAAGGAGCCCAGAGATGACCTGGAATAAGCCTGCTAGTTGAGCTCACCAGGCCAAGGAGCAGGTGGGAAAGGCACGTGGCGTGAGGGTGCATGCGGGCGGCAGGAGGCCGTGACGGCGGGCGGCGGGCGGCAGGGCGCATGAGGAGATGGGTCCCCACGTGGACATGGAGGTGTTAGCCAAAAGCAGCGCACAGGGACCTTAAATTCCATGAAGAACCTGGATTTTATCCTGTGGGTCATGGGAAGCCATAAAGAGCTTTACCTAGGCTAGTGAATAGGCCTACATTTTCATTTTAAGAAATCGTTTTAAAGCAGAGAACTGACAGCTGCTTTCTCTCCCAGGATTCTCAACTCTGTTTAAAAGCCTGTATATAAAAGCACAGATTGCTCCCCAGAGTTAGATCACACCCCAGGAGCTTAACCTCAGAAGGGCCTGGAAACTTCCTTACTTGGCCCACTTTACTAAGCAGAGTTGTTGACTTGCCCCTCCAGAACCAGCCAAGGAAAAGCAAACAGCTCCCGCGTTCTTGGCACAGCAGTGACCGAGGCCCAGCGGGGAGCAGGGGCGGGCTGCTTGGCCTTCAGTCCAGAAACCTCCTCCGGCCCTCCCACCGCAGGGCTTTGCCCATGTAAGACTCGTGGCCAGTGACCAAAACATTGCCGTTACTCAAACACTACGTCCCCCTGCCTCCTGCGCTGGACAGTGGATAAGGCTGGTGCTGTCTTCTAAGCCCTGTCTCCCCTGCCAGCTCCCAGCATGTCATTTCCAGCTCACCTGATTACCCAGTTCCATTTTCAGCTCATCTGCCTCCGAGGCTGGCCTACTTTTCACGGCCACATGAGCAGAAAAACTTGTGCATTATACAAACCATGGGATAGAACGAGAAGAACAGGACATAGAAAGGGGGCACAGGCAGAGCGAGGCAGAGCGAGGAGGCAAGGTCACTGCGAGAACCTGGTGGATGGCCACAGGACAAAGTATAAAAATACCACTGCAGGCCGGGGAGGGGCGGCCCTAGGGGAGGAGAGGGCAGGTACTGAGGGTAACAGAGCAGGACTTGGCCTCTGACAACCTGGAAAACTGAGCTGAAGCCCAAGAGGCACCAGCAGGATCATTTACCCAGTGGGAAGAGCTGGGCAGTCTCACTTTGCTTTTTTGCTAAGAGGCAGCTGGTTGGTTCTGAAAGCCGCTCCCGGGAGTGAACACGGAGGCCCGAGCAGCTTTGGGCTGTTGGAAAACCCAGGGGATGGTGGTTTTTCTCCTGTGGGAGGGACACAGATGAAAAGAAGAGGCCCTCTCAGATCTTTTTGTCTAATTAAGCCGTCTGCGGCGATTTTCAGAGGCAGGTTTTTCAGTGAAGTGAAAGGCCAAGGGTCACTAGTTCCATCAGGGTTTTTCTGAACTTTCTCTTCACTAACACCTGAACTTGAAAAATCCATTGTTCGCCTTTGCCAAGAAGGCAGAGGGACACTCTCTCAGTCCCAGATTCCCCCTTTAAGAGCGGCTTCTGGGTAGAAGGGGACTGTCGGAGAGGACTTGTGCCCTCCGGCCCACTGTTCCCACGTCACCCACGGAGGCCACCAAGGTGCCGCGGCCTAGGGAGAGCAGCCGTGTGGGTCTCCTGGCTCTTGCTAGAATTAGGTTGGCTGCGCCCCTGGAGAGGCGGAGTCCACCACGGGAAACAAGGTCCCACGATGAGCACTTTGCTCGGTGATCGCAGGTGTGACAGGTTGAGGTGCAAGGAGAAGGCTCAGTCGTGGGTGGGGAGCCGGTAGAAGGGAGAAAACATGGCCTCCCGGATCCGGCGGAAGAGCTGGGCCAGCTTGTAGAGGAAGGGCAGCGAAGACGGAGAAGCTGCAGGGAAGGGAGAGGCGTCAGGGGCTTTCCGCCACCACCGGCCCGCCGTCTCCCTCCCATTCCTCAGAAACCACCACCCTGGGCCAAGATTGAATTCTTTAAAGCAGTTGTTGGTGCTTAATATTATTTGCTCTGTCTTCCCTCCCCAACAATAAAGAATTTCATTTTCTCTACGACGTGTTTTCTGGAATATATTTTCTTCACGTGTATTACAACGACTTTACATCTGCTGAGGAAAAGATCTGAATTTATTATCTGACTTTTTGCTGCACACAAATCCGATAATGGCTGCCTCTGAGGAGATGCATTTGGAAAGAAACTTCACTACGTTCCTCTTTGTACCTTGTATCTTTTTAGTTTATAGTCATGTGACAATATTACTATATTGATTCTAAGTTAATTATATTGAAAATACAGTAAAATCTACAGTAAAATCTTTGGAATGAGAACTGAGTTGTTGGTTTGTGTTTTCCTTATTTGAATTACTCATTTCTTTCTTAAAAAGAAAAATGTGCCTTTTAAAGAAAGCCACTGATAGCCCACCCAACTTACACCCTCTACTCATCAGTTCTGACCACAGCCGGGTACTCCTCTCCCGCGGGGGTCACCACCGGGGTCAGAGCCGCCCGCCCGGGCCTGCAGGAGCGCTGAGCAGCCTGGCAGACACCGGGTCGGATGGCCCGAGCAGTCCTCACTCGGAAGACCTTGGTTTATGAGACTAAATGTCTTCTCTATTTTCCATATTTTCTAAAATATATGACTATTTCCCCTACAATATAATGTGCTAAAATCACTCTGTTCTGGACGTAATGATAAGGAGGAAGTTTTTTTTTTTTTTTTTATAAACTCTGAGATTTGAGTCTGAGTGGAGCCGGATAAAGCGGCTGATTGCACGACGGAGCCCTGGGTACTAGGGCACAAGGACAGAGTGGGGTTCCCCCAGATACCTCTCATGGGCCCCGGGGCTGGTCTCTCCGAGGTGGGCAGGTTCTTAATCTGGCCCAGCAAGCCCTCCTTGTAGAAGAGACCAGAGAGAAGAGGCAGGGGAGGCCCTCCAGCCCCTGGAGGGCTCCCACAGGCCCAGCTGCCCCTCCCCAGGAAGAGGGCGGGGACGGCTCCATCACTCACCTGGATCAAACCTCACCACCAAGAGGCAGAGAATCAGGGCAGCCAGGAGGCTCTTTCTGAAGGGCAGGGAGAAGAAGTGGCTCACTGCGGAGTCCCAGAGTCGGCGAAGCAGCACCAGCAGTGACAAGAACTTGTGGGAGAAGGAATCTGCTCAGGGAGAGAGAGGTGAGTCCCAGAGTCAGCGTCTGTGCCTGAGCTGTGCGTTGACTGTAAGAGTTGAGCAAAAGGTAACAGGATTGGTTTTCTCGTGTGGCTCATAAAGCAATTCTAAGGGAAATTCCAGAAGCTCCAGACATGTTTTAAGCACAGAGTACAGTGAAATATCTCCTCTGTGTTTATCTCTCATGTCAGTTAGGGAACTACAAATCAAAACAACAGTTAGACATCAACTTCCACCTGTGAGAATGGCTGTTAACCAAAGATGGGCAAGATGTGTTGAGAAGGGTTTGGCGAGAAGGGAGCCCTAGTAGTAGGGGTGTAAAGTGGTAAAGCCATTATGGAAATTCCTCAAAAAATTAAAAATAGAAGTTCCATATGATCTATGATCCAGTGATCCCACTTCTGATCCCACATCTACCCCCCCAAAAAAAGACACTAATTCAAAGAGATATATGCATCTCTGGTGGCATTATTCACGGGAGTCAATAGTTAGAGACAATCTAAATACCCATCAATAGATGACTAAAAAAAGATGTGGGGTGTGTACACAAATGGAATACTACTCAGCTACAAAAAAGGTGAAATCCTGCTATTTATACCATGGGTGAACCTCGTGGGTATTATGCTCAGTGAAGTAAGTTAGAGAAAGCCAAGCAAATATGATTTCACTCATATGTGGTACATAAAGAAACAAGTGAAATAAAAAACATAAAAATGAATTTTGAGACTGTAAGACCAAATTAGTGATTACCAGAAGGGAGGTGGGGAGGTAGGTCAACTGTAGTAAGGCTCAAACGGCTTGAAGGATAGAACTGGAGTTTAAATGGTGAACTTAATGTAGTCTACACAGATGGTGACTTTTCGTAAAGTACACCTCAAACATACATAATGCTATGAATGTAAAGTTACTCCAATTAAAAAATAAGTGTTAAGAATTGAAATACATTTTATCTTAACCACTTTCAATCAACTGGCAATGATTTTCTGGGGAGATAAAGAATAGCACCTCCTTCGACAGACAACATCTATTCAGCTGGTAAAGTTGGTAGGTTTGGTGTTTATTTAACAGCCTCACATTTGACAACATTCTTTATATTTTGGTCTAAGAAGGCACAGAGCTGCACAAAGCAATCATTCATGTTGATTATCATGATGCAGGAAAATGGCGGGCACTTAACAAATGCAAAAAATTCAAAGTCTTTGATTATGAATAAAAACGTAAACACAGCCAACTCTAAAACAAGCGGTGCCCAGCCCTGACAGGACACCTTGAACTTGTGGATTGACTGAAATCCACTGCTGAGGGGAGCAGTGGGCGAGACAGGAGAGGTCTGCCGTGCCATGCGGGTCAGCTTCCTGGCTCGGGACTGAACTCGTGCTGCAGAGGCTGTGATAGCTTCATAGTGCTGCGCTTTAACCCCAAGAGCCACCAGAGAGGCTCCCAGGGCTTGTTTTTTAATGCAACATCCTGTCTGCAATTTGGACGTTACTCTACAAAGAATTGTTCCCAAACTCCCAAGAATGTCATGACGGACCCCAAGGTCCAGAGGGAAGCCCACAGCAGTACTTTACAGGGGCCACAAAAGGATACTGTCCTACCTTCCTGGTTTCGCTTCTGGGCCTGGTTTTGCTTCTGGGCCTCCTCGGAGTGGGAGAGCTGCTGGTTCTGCTGCTGCTTTGCTGTACTAATGGCCTGGAGTGCATCCAGCCGCTGCTCCTCGCTGAGGATTGCAGAGCTCACCACTAGCTCCTCAGCCTCCGACAAGCAGCCCAGAGGCAGAAGCACCCGGTGCAGGTGAAGTTCTACCAAGGCTCTGTACTCTGGAAGGCCTTGACTGGCCGGGTCTCGGAACCAGGCTCTGGCCGCATCCAGGATGGCTCCGGGCTCTTGCATTTTGCTGTACAAAAGAATACTGCAGCCCCGAAAAACCCAACCCCAGAAAAGAACAGTCAGCTGCAGTCCTTCATCTCCCATAATCACTGCACTTCAAACCAGTCCCTCCCCTGTGGCTCCGGCCCCGCCCTGTGGGATGCTGACATAATTAGGAATGCCTAGGAAGTGGTGACAGGCTCTTACTCTGACACACTCCACTTCTGTCATCCCACTCCACATCTATGCCCAGTGCCCCTTCTTTTCTCTCCCACCCCTAAATTCCTTCTTTCTCATCTTTTATTGTTATGTTTAGAGGTCTGGAGGGGAAAAAAAAACCAGGGAGGTAATAGGCACCAACTTAGGAGAGGACATAAAAACCCTGTCGTTTCTGGAATAATCCCCTAAGCAATAAGGGCTTACCACAGCTCCAGGACTTTGGGGGGTAACTTTTCAGGGATCTGATAATAGCGAAGAACCCAGGGCAGGACTTCCTGCCACCGATCCATTTCAGCCAGGGCCTGGATGCCCACAACACACAGGGAGCATTTCACCTCCAAGGAGCTGTCAGTGGGAAAAAACAGGTTCGTTTTAAAAGAAGTTCACGTCCATTTCCACTTCCGCCTCTCCCAGGACGGTTCTTCCCCAGCTCAGCAGCAGCTCCGTTGACCTTGGGGTCAGGACTCAGGTGGGCTGCACAGTTACAACTGACCTCTGGGCCCCTCCACAGAGAACACTGCCCTTTCCCATGGGAGTTAACGGTCCTATAAACTGTCTAGAGGCAAATCAACTATTGCTGAACTACACCTTGTATTCAGGTGAAATCAGGTTTAAATGAGTGGGAAGCTTCACTTCATGCCGAGGGGAAAGGGACAATGCACGGGTGTGTGGGCAGAAAGAGCTTGAGCGGAGTTTGCTTAGTGCAGAAATGCGTGTGGAGCAAGGTAACAGGAATGCACGACAGCCAGATAACAGAGGAGCTCCCTGCTGGCCTTTGAGCACTTTTGGGGGTACCCGCAGGATCCTGGAATCATAGCCTTCAGCATTTACTGCAACAACCCCTACAGACCCAGCCAGGGAGCCCCAAACCCCAATTCATCCTTCTCTAGGCTCAGCTTTGACTATTCTACCCACCACCTCCTTCATGTGTTCTCATTCAACTTTACAGAAAAAAGGATGCCCTCAAGTAGCAGAAGAGGCTAGCAGCATTCGGAAGATAATGCAGAACCAAGGTTTTCTGAGTTAATTCTTGACTCCAATCCTTCTACAGGACAGGGCAGAACACAACTTCTGCCTTGAGCCTATGCCCACGCATCAGCCCAGATCAGGTGTGAATAAGTTGGTGGAGGGGCATGCACCCAGGAGAAGACATTCACCACCTGCTTACTGAAACAGGGCTTCCTGAAATACTGGAACATGAGTGCACACTCTACACTGGTAGGGTGCTCTTCTACCTTGGATTGGGGAGCAAAGCATAGGCCGGGCGACCTTCCTCGTTTTGCAAAGGGAAAACGGGCACAAGTCGATCTCTCCGAGAGGAACTATTAATGGAAGCGAAGGCACAGCTCCTCCAGGCGATCTGAGACGCCAGACCGCCCGTGCTCTCGGGTCTCTCCCCACCATCACCCGGAAATGTGGCAAGCCCAGCACGTACGTGCCCGCGGGCTCCTCTGCCTGGCCGTCCTTGTCCAGACTCTGCCAGGCGCGTTCGCAGGTCTGCAGCGCCCCAGGGAAGTCCAGGTGCACTATCAAGAGATCGGACGCCTCCTCCAGCAGAACCACGGCAGCCGACGGGGTTGGGGTGACGCGCACCGGCTCGCTGCTCCGCAGGGGCCCCACGAGGCCCCTGAGGGGGGCTGCGGAGGCCGAGGAGTCACTCTTCATAGCCAGCCTGGGTTCGGGGGCTCTCTCCTCACACGCCAGTGGCGGCCTCCCCCGGAACTCAGGGAGAGCGAGAGAACCCTCACAGCATTGATGCCCACAACCCTTCCCGCGGCCGAGTCCTGAAGGAGGAAGAAGAGGCGGCCATGTCCAGGGCAAAGGCTGGGCTCGTCTGGACGCTGCTCCGCTTCAAAAACCTCGGACCTCGGAGACTAGTTTACATCTGGAGCTACTGCAGCCCTGAAACACTTGGCCCTCGCTTCTCTGGCCCCTCTGCGTGCACAGGGGCCAACTTGGGCTCGGGGCGTCACGTTCCAAATTCCTTTTTACTAATAGAGCCCTCACCGCGGGTGCTTGACAGCGGGCGCAGACATCTTTACAGCTCCAGTAGCGTCCTGCAGACGCTCCGCTCCACGAGGCGCTGAGGACTCTGGGAGTTGTAGTTTCTTCCGCCCTCCCTACGTGGCCTCATAGATGTAGGTGGGGACATTCGAACTACAACCCCCAGAGTGCCGCGCCCCAAAAGTTGTCAGTCTGGGAGAAAATTTGGTGACGGCTTGGATGGAAACAAAACAAAACCTAGGCGTGCGTTCTCGGAGATGGGGAGGTCCTTGTGTTAACCATTTCCTGCACAGGCAGGCCAGAAAGAAATTCCATTCACGAAATTTCTGCTTCGGAGTTCCTGCAGGAATAGCAGTTGGGACATTGGGGGGCAGGCCAGAAAAGGCTCTGGAAAGAAACAAGCGCTGGTCACTTTTTCTTAAAATGTTCCACCCTCTAGGTCCAGGGTCATTTAATTCTTCCGTCAGCCCTGGGAATTAAGGACAACAGTTATCCCCATTTTACAGGTGAGGAAATGGGGACTTACTTAATTTGCTGAAGGTCACACAGCTAGTAAATGACAAAAATAGTCAAGCCAAAGTTCTTCTGGCTTAAAGGATACAGATTTCAACACTTCTGTTCTGCTTTTTCGATTCAGAGGATTCATGAGCAACTTACATAAACTCATTGAGCCTTTATAATCTCATACAAAATAGAGATACTGTGAGGAACGGTGCCACTCAGTATGCAGTGCGATTTATAATAAAGCACTGGACAGAGTGGGTATATTTATAGTTAAATAAATTAGAACTATATTAACTATATAATATAGACAGATACATAAGTGATACTTATTATTAGAGTTTACACTTCACAGGAGGTTTGCAGACCTCCCCCAACTTTATAGAACCCTCTCAGGCTTTACTTTTCCCCTAGTTTCCTACCTCATCAACTCTCCCCAAGGCTTCTCTAGGTTTATTTACCTACCGCACATATATCTCTGAAATTGCACAGTGTTGTAAACCAATGGTGCATGTAATAATTTTTTAAAATTAAAAATGGTAGGTTAGGTACAGGGTAAGTGTCTGCTAAGATCCTGCCTCTTCTCTCAGCACCAGGTAAAAGGTGTCTGCTCTCTGCAGTGTTCTCATGGAGAGCTGAATGTCAAACTTCAAACCCATAAAATCCGAACTAAAGTGTGTCTCACCCTGCTGCTCACCTGTGTATCTCAATAAATTCGCCTTTTTTGTTCTCAAAAACAAAAAACCAGTCAAAAGCCCAACCACACAAACCCTGAACTCAAACTAGAAGAAACACCAGCAGTGAGCTCCTTGACAAAGGTCTTGGCAGATTTTTAAAAATTTGACCAAAAACAAATGCAACAAAAGCAAAGATAAATAAGTGGGACTGTATCAACCTACAAGCTTCTACACAGCAAAGGAAGCCATCAGCAAAATGAACAGGCAACATACCAGGAAAAAAATTTACAAATCATACATTTAATAAGGGTTTAACATATAAAATATTTACAGAACTCATAAAACTCAGCAGCAAAAATGCAAACAATCTGGTTTAAAAAAATGAGCAGAGATCTTGTCGGGGTACTATTTAAAAACTAAGACTTCATTCCTTGCTCAGCAGGCTAGTTAAGAGGGTAGAGAATTGATAGGGAAGTCTGCACAAGTCTGATGTCCGACTTCCTAGGCCAGAAAAATCAGCCCATGCCCAGGAATGCAGAAGTAAGGCCAGGACACATTTCACATCAAAGGTCAGCACTGGAGACCAGACAACCAAGCCGATAAGTGCAAACTGATGTCCTGAGTAAGAAAGCCCATAAAAGCAGAGTACCAAAGAGACCCTCAAAACCTTCTTCAGGTGTAGACAGGTGTAGACCCTTACCGGGTATTTGAATAAACCCACCTTTTCTGTTCTCTATTCTGTCTCTGGTGAATCTTCCACCCCCATTCCATGCTGCTGTTCTACCACCACAGATCTGAGTAGACATTATTCCAAATTAAAATCAAAACAATGAACTATGTCTCACACCTGTTGGTGTGGCTGTTATCAGCAGACAACACCTGGCAAGTGTTGGTGGAGATCAAACTTGTGCCTCAGTGAGAGGCAAAAGCTTGATAGTGCTGTGTCTTTAACCCCTGCACCGCCAGGGAGGGCCCCTGCACCCTTGGCATTTCTGTAAATAGGAACTAGATACAATTATATAAGAATGTTTAATTAATTATAATAATCTCTGAAACAGAAGCCCAAAAAAAGGTAGCCCTAAGCACTGCTGGTAGGAATGTAAATTGGTGTGGCCAGAGTGGAAAAGAGCATGAAGGTGCCTCAAAAAAGGAAAAACAAACCACCATACATGATCTAGCAATTTCATTTCTAGATATTTGTCCAAAGGAAACTAAAACACTGACTCAAAAAGGTATATGCAACCCGCTTAAACGCAACATTACTCACAATAGCCATGACGGGGAAGCAAGCCAGTGTCCACTGCGGAATGAATATGTGGAAAATGAATTTACCACAAAAATGTGGTAAATATCTACATACACACAGTGGCCTGTTATTCTGCCACAAAAGAGAGAAATCTTGTCTTCTGTGACCACATAGATGGATACCTAAAGCCAACCTCAGTTTCCCTCAGCCTATAAAAGGAAACAGTTGAGGAGAAGGAAAGTAGTTAAATGTGTTGACAGACTGAGGAGGAGAGCACTGTCCTGCTCGTTGGCAGAGGGCAGGGACGTTTATACAAAGGAGTAAAAATGAAGGGGAGACGGGAGGGGGTCTGCGGAAGGGTGCTAGAAAGGGTCAGAGCATCCTCTTGATGCAGGCACCTGGGATTTCACACGGGCCAGCTGTCTTCCTTAATACCTGAAGTTTAGCGCCTTAGGTGTTTAACTTGCGCTTAGGGGTCCTTCCTTTTCTTAGGACATAAGAAGCCAATTTGTTTAACTTGCTAGGGAAGCCTTTCTGGTGGGGCAGTAGAGAGAGCTGTCACTGCATCAGATGGGCCTTGAAGGCATGATGCTACGTGAAATAAGCCCTACAGAATGACAAATAGGATATGATTGGGAGTACATGCAATGCCATGTGTAGAATCTAAAAAAAATAAAATAACTACATGAGAGTTGCCAGCCTCGGGGAGTATGGATAAATGTGGTCAGAAAACACAGACTTCCAGCTAGTAAATCGTAAGTTGGGGATGTAACATAGGATCGATCATAATGCCAATAGTTTGAACTATAGCATCTTTGCAGATTACGGAGAGTAGATCTTAAAAATTGTCATCACAAGAAGAAAGGTCTTTTTATGATGTGGGTGTTGGATATAAACTGGATTTAATATGGTGATCATTTCGAGTGTCCACAAATATTGAATCATTATTCCGTATTCCTGAAATTTATATGATGTTCTATGTTAATTACACCTCAATTTTTAAAAAGTCATATCCAACAGACTCAGGAGAGAGAAGTGTGGACCCTGGATTCTTCTAACAGAATGAAGCTGGGACTTCACTGACCCCACCCATACTTTTAGATCCCCACTCTGTACCCAGCACTTTTCTAAGCACTGAACAAAAGAAGCAAAGAGCCTGCCTTTGTGGACAACAAAAAACAAGCATGTGAAATGCATCAGGTGTCTGTCAGATGGTACTAAATGCTGCAGACAACTATGGAAATTCGAGAAGAGTCATGGGGGCGTATCTGGACGGAACTTCGTTGTCTGACAGGACACATAGGCTGGGGCAGAGCAGAAGTGGGGCTCTCCCTCAGGCCCAGCCTCTGCCCTGCATCACTCTTCTCTCTGGGACACTGCCTTGGGACCAGCATATTCTCAGGGTCCACCTTCCTCACCAGGCACACAGTGAGCTCCAGAAAGTTGAAAGTGACTCACCAAGAGGCTTTCTGAGCCCTGCCACAGACCTGGCATCAGTGATGAAGAACATCACCAACAGCATCGCTCGTGAATGGGAAAACCAGAGGACCTGTTTCTCAGAACTGAGCTCAGAAGTCTTCCCTGAAGTCAGGAAAGCAGTAGTGGCCTCAGAAACAGACCTGACCAGGCCCTCACTGGTGGCGCAAGGAGTTCAGTCTCAGCACTGGGATGCTGTCCGCAGCCACTGCAGCTCGAGTTCGATCCCTGGCTAGGGAGTGACCCACATGGCGCAGCAGACCTCACCTGTCTCCCTCCTGCTCCCCTCTGCAGTTCCCCACTGTCTCTGGTGAATCTTCTCACCACCTGCACCCCAGTTCTTGTGTGAATAAATAAATAAATCTTTAGAGGAAGGAAAGAAATAGACCTGACCAGTCTGGGTGAGTTGAAACTAGTGTAGCCCCCATCACGGCCACCACCTCTGGGAAAGGCGTCCTCCTTATGGTAGGACTGATCTTAGGACAGGTCGTAGGAAAGAGGTAGGACAGGAAGAGTCTTGCTATTGCCAGTTTTTTCCAGGAGGTGGCAGCACAGCCCTAAAAGAAGCAGGCCTACCGGACCAATGTGTTAGCTAGAATGAGGGCAACATATTTAAGGACTGAGGCGGTGGGGGTGGGTTGCTAAAAATCATACAAAAATATCACCGTATTTTACTTCTTCTACCCAATTTTTGACTAGACAGAGCTCGCAGGAGTTCTGATGTCACCCACTGTACCCACAAATGGGTTCCTAACACACATGGACTGACACTCCATCCTCTCCCTCCATATGTCCCCAACCTCCTACCCCTGTGTGGACCCAGATTGTCTCAAGCTCAGGCAACAACCCT